CTCTGTGCGTGACAGGGGGGAGCTCCTCAACCCCCTGATGGGCCCTGCTCTGTGAGTGACAGGGGGCAGCGCCCCAACCCCCTGATCGGCCCTGCTCTGTGCGTGACAGGGGGTGGCGCCGCAACCTCCCCATCGACCCTGCCTTGAGTGTGACAGGGGGCGGTGCCCCAACCCCCCAATCGGCCCTACCCTGAGCGTGACTAGGGGTGGCATCACAACCTCCCGATCCACCCTGCTCTGTGCATGACATGGGGCAGTGCCCCAACTCCCCAATCGGCCCTGCTCTGAGCCCGGCCAGGGGCTGCACCTAGGGATTGGGCCTGCCCTCTGCCACCCGGGAGCAGGCCTAAGCCAGCAGGTCGTTATCTCCTGAGGGGTCCCAGACTGTGAGAGGCACAAGTGGGGCTGAGGGATACCCCCCTCCCCCCCGCCGCCAGTGCACAAATTTTTGTGCTCCGGGCCTCTAATCCTATATAATAAAACCCTAATATGCAAATCGACCCAACGGTGGAATGACTGGTCGCTATGAACTGACCACCAGGGGGCAGATGCTAAACATAGGAGCTGCTCCCTGGTGGTCAATGTGCTCCCACAGTGGGAGCGCCACTCAGCCAGAAGCCAGGCTCAGGACTGGCAAGTGCAGCAGCGGTGGCTGGAGCCTTCACGGCAGCACTAAGGAGCAGCAAGCTGAGAGGTAGGGAGCTGCAAGCAGGCAGGCGGTAAGGAGTGAGGGGTCCCAGACTGCAAGAGGGCACAGGCCAGGCTGAAGGCCCCCCACCCCACCGCCAGTGCATGAATTTCATGCACTGGGCCTCTAGTAAAATAATATTGAATGTCAATTATAATTGAAAAATTTTTTAAAGCCCAACTTTGAACTGGCACAAAGTCACTTCTGCACATTTTATTGGTTAGAACAAGTCAACAAGTCAAACCATAGTCAACAGTCTTCACTTCCCAAGCTGCAAAGCCATAGCAAAGAGGAACAGCTACTGGGATGGGAGTAATTTCTGACTAGTTTTGCAATTGCCACAGAATGGAAAAAGCCTTCTGGGTTAGTCTGTTCAGACTGCCATAACAAAATAACATAGACTGGGTAGCTTAAACAACAGACCTTTATCTTCTGACATTTCTGGATGGTAGAAGTCCAAGATCAAGATGTCAGCAGAGTTGGTTTCTTCTAAGTCCTCTCTTCTTAGCTTGTTCATGGCCATCTCTCTGTGTCTTCACATGGTATGTTCTCTGTGCTCACACTTCCCTTGTTTCTCTCTGTGTGTCCTAATCTCCTTTTCCTACAAGACACCACTTAGATTGGAGTAGAGTCCACCCTAATGACCTCATTATTTAATTTAATTACCTCTCTAAAGGTCATATTCACATTCTGAGTTACTGAAGCTTAAGGGGAATACAATATATCTCACACCACCACAAAAACACAAAACAACCAAGATAGGACATTGGTGAAGGGAGATCAAATAAAATCTTTCATGCCAAAACCAGAAGTACTCCAGCAATGCCTTCACCTCCTGCAGTCTGGACACACTGGGTGCAGTTGCTTGTCAGTGTTCCACATCCCAAATCTCTGCAACCTTTCAGTCTGTCAGCTGCTGCAATGTGCATCCATTTAACTTCACCCCTTCTGCACTAATGCAGTCTACCTACCTCTTCTGAAACATAACACTCACCAAAGAGAGTTTATATCAGGGGACACTGGGGAATCTCAGAATGCCTTGAATCTAGTGGACCTCTGAGAAATCAGTAAAGCCCAGGTGTGGTGAGTGTCCACTGTGCTAAAGACAAATGCTAGGATGATGTGGGGGTGCAAGCAGTGAAGAGACAGACCTGTCCAAACCTCAAAGCACATGTGGGGTAAATGAGAAGTCATGAGGCCCAGTAGGATGGGGTTCCAACATAGGAAACCTCAGGAGTGGTTTCTTCTTTTATGATAAAAATAGAAGCCCGGTGCACGAATCCATGCATGGGTGGGGTCCCTCGGCCTGGCTGTTGATCAGGGCCAATCAGGGCCATCTTGCTCAGTCCTGATTGGGGCCATGGGGACTGGCTGGCTGGGGAGGGACCATGGGAGGGCTCCAGGGCATGTCTGGCCCTCTCGCCCAGTCCCGATCAGCCAGACCCCAGCAGCAAGCTAACCTACCAGTCGAAGTATCTGTCTCCTGGTGATCAGTGCACATCATAGCGACTGGTTGAGTGGTCGACCAAATGGTCAACCAATCGGTCAGACACTTAGCATGTTATGCTTTTATTATATAGGATTATGTCCTCATGGCTAAAGATCAAAATGAACTAAGAATGAGGAAGTTTTGACCAGCCCTAAGAATTAATTCATTTCTCATTTATAAACTATTCTCCAAGTGCCTTTCAAGACACCTGAGTGTGTCCTTTGCCCCTCTGGGTGTTCAGTTCAGAGGCCCCTTCTTGGCAAGCACATTGGTGATAGGCACAGGTATGGAACCTGATAAGCTTCTTTCCCTTCAAGTCTTAAAAACATCTGCTGCTGTAAAAACTAAGCCTGCATGTTTCCAAAGCAAAATACAATAAGAGCACAAGAGAGCCTAGTGTTTGTCCAGAATCTGCTTTTCCATTTTTATGGCAATGCCACCCTTGTTTGATCAGCATGGGGGAGCCAGCTGCCTCACCTACATACCTCACTTTCTCTCTCACCTCTGCTGAGACATTGCTTTAGGGAAGTCAGCCAAATTCCTCAAGTCAGTGCCTCACTTTTGGACATGAGTGTCAACCATGAAGAAAAGTATAGTCCACATGTCATAATAAATGTCACAATAAAATCAATGTTTCTTTTCTCTCAACAGAATATGTTTACATTTCAAGCTATGACTCAATAAATGTCCAGAGATGTGAAAATACATAGAAGTGGCTTTTCTTTTCCTTTTTGTCTTCCAGGGAAACATGATGACATCAGTCAATAAAGGGGGTTGATAACAGAGGGAAGCTGTGTATAATCAGTAAACCTCAGGGACTAGGAAGACAACACAGATCCATTTCAAAGCTGAGGACTAAGAAAATTCAGAAATACAGAGAGAGTACTTCTGATGACTAGCTTCTGTCCATAATTAGCTTTTAAAAGATGTTTCCTTATTTATGAACTTTATGTGCAAGGCCAAATTTAAACTAGGAAAGAAGGCATGTATATCTAAAGGTTTCTTAGTGTCAGGCATTGTATATCCATTATTGGAAACGAAAGGTTAGGTTCATCACTTCATAAGAATATGATGTTTAATCTTCTACTTCTAGCAGAATCCCCATATTTGTATGGAAGTGGACTTCAAAATACTGTGCCTGATGTGACCTGTAAATTAACATTTTTCATGTAATGCATTTTAATAAACATACAATCATGAAATGCATATATTTAAGTAGAGTATTTTATCAAGATGCAAACATAGCTATACAGTTTCTACACATCTTATTGGCTTATTATGAATTAACTAGAGGCCCGGTGCATGAAATTCATGCATGGGGGGGGGTGGTCCCTCAGCCTGGCCTGTACCCTCTCCAATCCGAGACCCCTTGGGGGATGTCCGACTGCCGATCCCTGTGGGATCAGGCCTAAACCGGCAGTCGGACATCGTTCTCACAATCCAGGACTGCTGGCTCCTAACTGCTCCCCTGCCTGCCTGCCTGATTGCCCCTAACCACTCTGCCTGCCTGCCTGATCTCCCCTAACTGCCCTCCCCTGCTGGCCTGATTGCCCCTAACTGCTCCCCTGCCAGTCAGTCTGATCACCCCTAATCACCTCTGCCTCGGCCCCCACCACTGTGGCTTTGTCCAGAAGGAGGACTGGACGATCGGAAGGTGTCCAGTCGACCCAGTCTAATTAGCATATTACCCTTTTATTAGTATGGATTTCTTTTTGCAGTGTGTGTGTGTGTGTGTGTGTGTGTGTGTGTGTGTTGGTTTTGGTTTTGTTTATTGGGTTTTTGTTGTCACTTAGTGAGACACTCTGAAATGTGCCTGGTTTCACTCAAAGATCTCTGAGGAATGCTGAAGTTCACAGGCACCATCCTACAGCAGCACAAAGATCTGTACTAGATCCCACAATAAGGAGAGATTAAGAAGCAAGGTTATTGTGTCCTGGGAAAATCAGTTTCAGAGGACAGCACATACCAGTGGTCAGGATCAGGCTACAAAGTGAGCTTGCGCTGTGCAACACTTAAGTGGTGCTGCTCTGGTATTTCGGCCACCAAATCTTGATTCTCTAAGATTAGATGGAGCATGAAGAGACACTTCAGTCTGTAAACCAAGTTCTTGCCTAGCTTTTTCTTTGTATATCATATGACTTCTCAAAACCAGAGCAAGACTGCAATTAGACCTGGAAAGAAAAATGCCTGTGATGACCACATACCAATTTCCTAATGGTGGACACAACTTTGGGAGGTGCCTGCATTTATTTACTCCTCCCTGAACTTATGCAATAAAACTTCGTAATGACTAATATTCTTTTAATTCCTTTCTCCATTTTCTATAATTATAAAATTTTTAACTTGTCCTGTCATGGAAAATAGCCTCTAGGATGGGCAGTTGAATGCATACACCCATATATAGGAAATTAGAACTTTTGGAGACTCACTTCCCTGAAAAAACATTCACAGCAAAGCTCTAACCAGTAGAAATTAGCCAACAACCACATATACAAAGATGGAAAACAATTCTACATCAAGTATAGTATGCCCTATATCAACATCCAATAGTTGATTTAAGAATATATAAGGCCTTGAGGAATAGAATGGACAAATATTCAACCAACATTCCCACATACAGTAAGGCATGCCTGGCATTGTAAAAGAATGCCCTAAGAATTCCTAAGACACCCAGGCTCAGTCAACCTGCAACACAATTCTGAATTCTTTCTCTTTTCCCCCTTGGTTATTAAGTGTACTGCATGTTGTCTCTGCAGATTTCCACTTCAACCTTCCATCTGAATACAGTATAAAGTCTCTCAATCTCTCACCTCAGCTTTCTTCCTAGCCTCATTTTCATCTTTCTTTGATTCTTAAATAAACATGAACCCCCCTCAGGGTACCAGCTTCTCAGACCACTCCTTATACAAGGGAAGTCCCCAGTCATTTTAACATGGTGCAAAAGTGCTATGGACCCAGTCTTTGGTTGGGAAGGAAATATAGGGATCACCTCGCCCAAACTTACACATAACAATTGTATGTTACCACAAATAATTAGATGATATAGATTAAAGTAATAAAAACAACAGCTTTTAAAGGTTTGCATCTTGTGTTAAAGATATCCAACATGAATATAGTAGGCAATCTTCAAAATGGTTTCCAATGATCTTGATTGTTTGTGTAGTTTACTTACACACTGTCCTAAAGTTGGTCTATGTGACAACATACAGCTAAAGTAATGCTATGTCACTTTTGATATTGTTATTTTTTAAAAGTGAGTTCTACATTATATTCTCTCTCTCTCTCTCTCTCTCTCTCTCCCTCCCTCCCTCTTTCTCTCTCTCTTACATCATTCACCCTCGAGGAAGCCAGTTGGTGTGATGGAAGAACACTCCTAGAAGCTATGGAGAGGCCTATATGATGAGAAACTTCAGTCCCCAGCCAACATGGAGACCTGCCAAAAGTGCATAATTAAAATACAACCTTTAGATGAGACAGCAGGCTTGGCCAACGCTTGACTGCAAACTCATGAGAGATTTAAGCCAAAACCACCCAGCTATGATGCCTCAGGATTCCTAGCTCGGAATTAGGAGATAACTAATTATTATTGCTTTAAACTGTTAGGTTTAAAACAGCAGTAATTTTGCCAATATAATAAAGGCTATATATGACAAGCTCACAGCTAGCATCATACTCAATGCTGAAAGCTTTACCTATAGGATAAGGAACAAGGTAAGGGTGTCCACTCTTACCACTCCTATCCATCATAGTTCTGGAAGTTTTAGCAAGAGAAATCAGTCAAGAAAAAATAAATTAGCCCAGCTGGTATTGCTCAGTGGTTGAGCATCAACCTATCAATTCCCCGTCAGGGCACATGCCCAGGTTGCAGGCTTGATGTGTAGGAGGCAGTTGATCAATTAATCTCTCTCATCATTGATGTTTCTATTTTCTCTCTCCCTCTCCCTTTCTCTGCAAAATCAATTTTAAAAAACTACGCTGAAAAACACACAAACACATGGAGGCTAAATAGCGTCTTACTAAATAATCAGTGAGTTAACAATGAAATCAAGAAAGAAATCAAAAGATAATTTGAGACAAATGAAAATACCACAATCCCAATTCTATAAGGCCCATGTGTGATATTTTGTTATGGCATCCCAAGTGGACTTAACATATATGATAAGAACATTTACTTACTTTACAATTTTGCATACCCACAAGCAAGGAATAAAAGTTCCCACTGCTCTATATCTCCACCAGCATTTGTTTTTATCAGTGTTTTGCATTTTTGCAATTCTAATAGGTGTGTAGTGGTAGCTCATTATTGTTTTATTTTGCAATTTCCTAATGACATATGATGTTAAATCTCTTTTCATTTGACTATTTAACATTGTTTATCTTCTTTGGTGAAGTGTCTTCTCCAATTTCTTTCCCATTGTTTTAACTGAGTTGTTTTCTTTAAGTTTTAAGAGTTCTTTCTGTATTTTGGATAATGGTTCTTTCTCAGATGTCTTCTGCAAATATTTTCTCCCAATCTGTGGCTTAAGAGGGTACTTTAAAAAATGTCATGGGCTGTGTTGCTTGTAGTGGTGCTGGAGAGGGGGCGCTGAGCTGCAACAGAACAGACTTTACCACCTGAAACTGCTGCTTCAAGTTCAGATCAGGCAAAGAACAAACCTTGAAACAACCAACAAGACCAAAGAAGAGTACACTTAAGTTGAAGACACAACACTTAATCTGAAACAAGAAGTTTGTGCCTACTCAACAGCTCTGAAAGAGCACTTCCCAATGCTGTTAGTAATCTTTGTTCTCTTCAGTGCTGTACTGTGAGATTGCCTGGTGCAGCAGCAGTTGCATTCTTTATTAGCTTGATAGACCATTTTCTATCACTCTTTTTTTCTTTTTAATACTAGCAACACTCATCCTTTGAAACGTGTGCTGAAGAAGAAGAATCAGCAAATACTACTGAAAGTGCAATATTTGATTATCACTGTGAGATGAGCTTTGATCCAAACCTTTTCCACAACAATGGACACAATGGGTACCCCGATAGTACTTCAGCAGCACTGCGTGAAACGGGTAGTTCAGATCAGGCAAAGAACAAACCTTGAAACAACCAACAAGACCAAAGAAGAGTACACTTAAGTTGAAGACACAACACTTAATCTGAAACAAGAAGTTTGTGCCTACTCAACAGCTCTGAAAGAGCACTTCCCAATGCTGTTAGTAATCTTTGTTCTCTTCAGTGCTGTACTGTGAGATTGCCTGGTGCAGCAGCAGTTGCATTCTTTATTAGCTTGATAGACCATTTTCTATCACTCTTTTTTTCTTTTTAATACTAGCAACACTCATCCTTTGAAACGTGTGCTGAAGAAGAAGAATCAGCAAATACTACTGAAAGTGCAATATTTGATTATCACTGTGAGATGAGCTTTGATCCAAACCTTTTCCACAACAATGGACACAATGGGTACCCCGATAGTACTTCAGCAGCACTGCGTGAAACGGGTTATTGAAAAACTGCTAACCTCTTACGAATTTATTCAATGTTCAGAACATCAAGCTAGACTTTTCTTCCACTGTTCACAGTAAAATGGCTACCTGCAGGACTTAAAAGTAGGAGATGATGTTGAATTCAAAGTATCATCTGACTGGCGGACTGGGAAACCCATTGCTGTTAAACTGGTAAAGATAAAACAAGAAATCCTCCCTGAAGACCGAATAAATGGACAAGAAGTGTTTTATTTGACTTACATCCCTGAAGACTTGGAAGGGAATATTCAGCTGGAAACGAGAGATAAAATAAAAATTTTAATTGATAACAATAAACATACTGATGCTGTAAGTGCTCGAAACATTATTCCATTGAAAAATAAACAAGCCCGCTGTCAAGGAGTACTTTGTGCCATGAAGGAGGCATTTGGCTTTATTGAAAGAGGTGATGCTGTAAAAGAGATATCTCTCACTATAGTGAATTTAAGGGTGACTTAGAGGCCTTACAGCCTGGAGATGAGGTGGAAATCACAATCAAGGAGAGAAATGGTCAAAAAATTGCAGCACATGTCAGACGATTGCCTCAAGGAACAGTCATTTTCAAAATATCAGCTTTGAACATTTTGAAGGAACTGTAACCAAAGTTATCCCAAAAGTACCAGTAAAAATCAGAATGACCCATTGCCAGGATGCATTAAAGTTAACTTTGTGATTCCTAAAGAACTTCCCTTTGGAGATAAAGATACAAAATTCAAGGTGACCCTGTTGGAAGGCAACCATGTTAGCTTTACTATTTCAACAGATTGACATGACAAATTAGAACGAGCAACCAACATAGAAGTTCTATCAAATACATTTCAGTTCACTAATGAAGTCAAAGAAATTGGTGTGATTGCTGCCATGAGAGATGGTTTTGGTTTCTTCAAGTGTGTGGATCCTGATATATGTTCTTCCACTATAGTGAAATTCTGGACGGGAACCAGCTCCATACTGCAGATGAAGTAAAGTTTACTGTGGTTCTTGATATGCTCTCTGCCCAAAGAAATCATGTTATTAGAATTTAAAAAAACTTCCCAAGGGCATGGTTTCATTCCATTTCCATTCAAATCATCATTTTCTGGGCACTATAGAAAAAGAAGCCACTTTTTCCATTTCTAAAACCACTAGCCAAAATAAAGGCAAGGAAACAGAGACTGAGGGTGGTATTATTGCTTATGATGACTGTGGGGTGAAATTGACTATTTTTTTTCAAGCCAAGGATGTGGACGGATCTACTTCTCCTCAAACAGGTGATAAGGTTGAATTCAGTATTAGTGACAAACAGAGGCCTGGACAGCAGACTGTATGTAACCTGTGTGCAACTTTTAGATCATAATTCTAACTCCAAGAGGCTCTTAGGTTATGTGGCAATTCCGAAGGATACTTTTGGATTTATTGAAACAGCCAATCATGATAAGGACATATTTTTCCATTACAGTGAGTTCTCTGGTGATGCTGATAGCCTAGAACTGGTGGACATGGTCAAGTACAACTGGTCCAAAGGCAAAAGCAACAAAGTCAGTGCAGAAAAAGTCAACAAAACACACTTGGTGAATGGCCTTACTGAAGAAGCAGATTCTACATCTACTCTGGTAAAGTCATTCGCCCCTTGAGAAGTGTTGATCCAACACAGACTGAGTACCAAGGAATGATTGAGACTGTGGAGAAAGGGGATATGAAAGGTAAGGTCTATCCACCTGGCATAGTTGAAATGGCCAACAAAGGAGATTGCCTGCAGATAGAGAAGAGTGTAAAATTCCAATTGTGTGTCCTAGGCCAAAATGCACAGTCTATGGCTTACAACATCACACCTCTGCATAGGGCCACTGTGGAGTGTGTGAAAAATCAGTTTGGCTTCATTAACTATGAAGTAGGAGATAGCAAGAAGCTCTTTTTCCATGTGAAAGAAGTTCAGGATGGCATTGAGCTACAGGCTGGAGATGAGGTGATTCTTAATCGGCACACTGGCAAGTGCAGTGTTTGTAATGTTTGGCGAGTCTGCAAGGGCCCCAAGGCTGTTCCAGCTTCACTACCTGATAGGTTGGTCAATCGCTTGAGGAACATCACCCTGGATAATGCCAGTGCTCCTGGCCTAATGGTTCTTCCTCAACCAAAGGGACCAGATAACTCAATGGGACTTGGTGTAGAAAGAAAGATCTGTCAGGCTGTTATCATTGACTAACCACATCCACAAAGCACATCATTAATCCACGATGATCAAGTTGGGAGGATTCTGGTGAAGGGGAGGATTCTTCATCCCTCCCCAAAATCTGGAATACTTATTCTATTGAGCTACTATACCAGTTTTAACACCTTCCTCGTATTATGTTTAAAATAAATGAATACATTTAAAAAAAACATTTTAAAATTATGCACAGTTGCAGCCTGGAAAACTTAAGGTGGTGCCTTGTAGCATCAAATTTAGGAGCTTTGTCCGGTGCATTTAAAGCAACTGGTAATTACAAATTCCACTTTTCCCATGTGAGTGAAAAATATAGACTGTTACCTTGTTGGCCGTATGAAATTCTGCACTTGATATTTAGCATACTAGAGGCCCAGTGCACGAAATTCATGCACAGGTAGAGTCCTTAGGCTTGGCTGGTGATCGGGGCCAATTGGGGCCTTCCTTCCCCTGGCTGCCAGCTGCCAGCCAGGGCCTTTCTTCATTCAGTACAGCCCCCTGGTGGTCAGCACACATCATAGCGAGTGGTCAAACTCCTGGTTAGTTAAACTCCCGAGGGGACAATTTGCATATTAGCCTTTTATTATATAGGATATTCTACCTCCATTACTTCTGGCAAGATGTCCTGCCTTAGCACTCAGTTGCATTCTTTTCCTTTTCTTTCCTGTTCATTATATTTTAATTCTAAGGACCACATAAGGGTAGACTATATTAAAACATTTTTTTAATTAGTATAGGCCCGTGGTTGGCAAATCGTGGCTCATGAGCCACGTGCGGCTCTTTGGCCCCTTGAATGTGGCTCTTCCACAAAATACCACGTGCGGGCGTGCACGTACAGTGCGATTGAAACTTCGTGGCCCATGCGCAGAAGTCGGTATTTTGTGGAAGAGCCACACTCAAGGGGCCAAAGAGCTGCATGTGGCTTGCCGAGCCGCAGTTTGCCAACCACTGGTATAGGCAAACCATTTTTTTAAGTTGATGGCTAAATGTTAAAATGTTATTTTTCATATCATTTATAATTTTGTCACAGTCCACTTACATGAATTTTGGTTAGAATTTCAATGAAAATTATTTTCCAAAGTAATTTGTCCCACCTGGAATGGGGTGGGAAGTAAATTTGCTACAATTTGGTACAGATTTTCATGCAAATGCGGTGTGCAAGCAGTGTGCTAATTTACATGTCTTTAAACAAAGATGAATGCACAAACTTGCTGCTGCTTAGAACACTGCAGTTTCTAGGACCCAGTTTCTTTTACTGATTTTAAACAAAACAAACAAACAAATAAAAAAATTGTGCCTGACCAAAAAAAAAAAAATTCATGTAGGATTTTAGAATGAAAATATGAGTCACATACCACAAAAGTCACCCTTATAAAGTGTAAATTTGCAATGGATTTAGTATATTTACAGAATTGTGTAATCATCACTACTATCTAATTCCAGGACATTTTCATCATTCCAAAACAACCCCCCTACCCAGTAGCAGTCACTCTCCACTTCCCCTCCCCTCATATCCTGGAAACCACTCATGTACTTTCTAATTTTATGCATTCTGAACAGTTCACAGACTGGAATCATGCAGTATGTGGCCTTTTGTGACTTCTCTCACTTAGCATAGTTACATTTTCAAAGTTCACCCATGTTGTAGCATATATTAGTACTTAATTTCACATTTTACTTAGCTAGTCATCCATGATGAGTATTATTTGGGTTGTTTCCACTTTTTTAGCTATTACAAATCATGCTGCTATGAATATTCATGTACAAGTGTTTGTGTGGGTATATGTTTTCAAATCTTTTGGGCCTTTACCTAAAAGTAGAATTTCTAAGTCCTTTGGTAATGCTAACTTTTTGAGAAACTGACAAGCCACTTTTTAAACTATCTGCACCATTTTACATTCCTACAAGCAACCTATGAGTGTTCCATATACTGTACATCCTCACCCACTTATTATTGACCATACTAATTATTATGGCCATCTCAGTGGGTGGGAAATGGTATCTCCAAATTACGTTTTTTATTTCTATTTTCTTGATGGTAATGATGTTGGACATCTTTTCTTGAGCTTATTGGCCATTTGTATATCATTCTTGGAGAACATCTCTTCAGATTCTTTCACATTTTTAATTGGGTTGTTTTTTATTGTTGAACTATAGGATGTCTTTGTATATTCTTGATACATTTCCCTTATCAGATATATGATTTGCAAATATCTTGTCCCATTTTTGGCTTGTCTGTTCACTTACATAAAGGTGTCTTGTCAGACACAGAAATTATGATTTTGATGG